GGGTTGGGAATGGGATGTGAAGTGACGTTAGAAATGTGAAAGAAGTAAAAACAGAAATTGTTGACGAGGACTGACTGTGATACGACATGACATACAGGGCTGAATGAGTATTATTCTGGGTTTGACAATATTGGTCATAACTCTACGTTTGATCTTATCTTGTTGTGGATTATTCCCAAGTAAGTTTCTTTACTACCTCCTCTGTTGTTGATTAACGTGTGCTGATTACGAACCAGTGGTGCCTGGCTTGTGTTTCCGTCTGTCATGATCTATACGCTGGGTTCGGAGATCATTGATGGCTTGGCTAGTCCCTCGAGTGCGGCCGATCGGTCTGTAAAGCAGGAATGAACAGCCTGCGGTTACAAGGTTGAACTATACTTCCACTCGATTAAGCTTTCCTGGGGGTGGTGGCCTTCAATCGCCGGGCCTCGTCAGTTCATAGCGCAATGAGAACTATAGGACGGTAGATGGGGTGATGGGAAGAGGTCGAGTTTCAGAAAATGATATCCCTCTGTTGGCTGTGACACTTCTCTGAGGCTTTTCTGCTATGGAAGGTACCTGTGGCCAACGAAGTAAGGTTTCCACATCACGGATACACGAGCATGACGAGCAGGGATGTCAGGTACGCCTGCCACTACACAGGCTCTGTGATAGGAGGCTACGATGGCCATACGCCGCCACGTATGTGATTCAGTCCGCCGAGCTTTGATGGATTCGCGATTTCCTAGTAGGAGGGCGATGATTTTGAAAGACAGGATGTTAAGAGAAAGGCCTGTCAACTTGAGGGCTGGAATCTCAGCATACACTCATTTGCCGCAAAAGGCAAGGTTCCGCGTGATAGTATGTCGTTTATGAGCCAGCTTCTTATGTCAGTTATTAGACTGCCAACGGGAAGCAAAGAGGAGATGAAACTCTTCGATAGGAAGTCACATACAGCGTTAGAGATAACTCGACTCAACTTGGGTCGCTAACTTACTTACGTCAACTCAACTTGGACCTCGAAGTTACTTACCGAATTGCCCGCCTTCTTGGCAGTGCGGCAGAATATTTTCGGCGCTTAAAAAGTATTCTTTTCGCCTACGGATGGCCCTTGGAGGATGGGATTTTTATCGGGGTTAGGGTTTTAGATGGTTAGATTTATCTTCGCAACTTAGCAAGTAAATATAACTCAACTCAATTCAACTCAAATACAACTTCAAGTTGAGTGGGTCAACTTAACTCCGACCCCAAATTAAGTTGAGTTATTTCTAATGCTGGTCACATATGTTAGTTCAAAACATATGAACCCAGAAGGCTTTCCTACCTATAGTAACCTGGAACCAATCAAAGAACACTGGAGCAACTACATGCATTAATACACATTACAATATCATTTATGTCCCTGAAAATCCGCCAACCAACCAACCAGCCAAACCAAACCAGCCCCCTTCTCTCTACGACTGAATCAACGCTATAAGCCGTTCCCTAATATTGGACTCAACAGCCTTGTTGTCTTTCACAGCTCTCGCATACAGCTGCCTCGACGGCACAGTCCGCGCCGCCATTTCTGATATGTTTTCCAGCAAATGCAGGACATACTGCCCCAGCAAGCGGGCGTGAAGAGCCTTAGTCATGTTGGGCACGAACGCCCCAAGTCGGATATGGACGAAGTCGGGCGGACAGGTGGTCGCCCTCATTGTCTCCACAATGAATACCAGAGACTCGAAGATCTGCAGTAGTCTTGTTACGCAGCTCACGATCATGAGGCCGGTCGCTGGGTCTACTTCTTGATCGCAGGTGCTGCTTGCGTACTCGATACCATCTTTCTGTTGACCACTCTCTGTTGAAGGATCGTCGTTGCCGCTGCTTGTTGCATTGTCCAACATGAAGGTGTCGGTCTCCATGCTATCTCCTCCCGAGTTGCTCCCGTTTGTGGCGGCGCTGTTAGCATATCCTTCAAGCGCAGAGATGAATTTTTCCGTCATGGCAAATAGTCGTTCCGCCCAGGTGGTGTCGATGGGGCCGCAGGCTTTCGCGGCAATCTTCTCCATAAACTCCCTCTTCTGCTTCTCTACCGCCCTGACTACGTTCAGACACTGGTAGAGTTCTAGCTGCAACTTTGACAGCTGTTCGATAGGATCATCGAGAAAAGAGTCTGTGTCTGGTCCCCCGTTCTCGAGCGAGCTGGATTGGCCGCTGAAGGAGGTGGATGGTTGCAAAGTCCAGTCGACTCCGTCGTCAAAATTGAGGAGCATGTCGTTGATGTCCTCTAAGCTCATAAGCATGGGCTGTTCGTAGGTGAATCGGGTGTCCGAAGGGTCTGCCGTCCGATTTGACGCAGGTAGATTTCCTTCACCACCGAGACTTCCATCGTTCACCAGACCCCCGACACCAGTCCCGTTGGTACGAGAAGGGGACAAGTATTCCTGCCCCTGGGCTGTCTGCGCAGGGTTGATAGACCACGACCAATTCTCCAACTGTGATACGCCAGTCGGTATTCCCTGCTGGACGCTGGATCCGGAGCCATCAGAGTCGACCGGAGTTAAGGTAGACGAAAAGCCATATGTTATGCTGATATCGGTTTCTCTAAGCTCCATCCCATAGTGGAGTCCAAGGTTTTGCCTCGCTTGCTTTCTGGCCGGAGACCCGTCCCCACGGGCGGATTTCTGGCTCCCGTGCCGCACTTGAGATCTTGGTCCATTGCCGAGTTCAACCGGCCTGCCCATCCGCTGTGGCTTGCGCTCAACGCAGTCGATTCCGGCAGACAGACACCGGTCGCAAGTACGGCTGTCAGCAATGCGCCGGATGCAGCGCAGTTTCTGAGAGTGACAGCGGGCACAAGCCAGGGTCTTAGCGACCTGAGGCCTCGCCGTTGACATAGTTTCGGTGCCGGTCGTAGTCAGATTCATGATGGTGTCCCTGGTTTCGTCGTTTGTTGGTATCCCGAAGTCCAGGATGTGGATGTCTGTCTGGCCGGTGGTTTCTCTCGGCCACGGACATAACGTTTTTAACTCCGAAGTTTGTGACCGGAATTATGGGGTGGTGTTGAGGTGACAAAGAAAGGTTTCGTAGGGTCGGACTACATGTTTCGGTCTTAAAGCTGACAGAGTTCCTAAGCACTGTTTGCCATGCCGCCAAGCTCGCCAAACAAACTCACCTTCTTCATTTGATCCTGGGGATGATGTCCGCCAGCTATTGTGCGCTTGTTACCACTCGGTATCATTATTGCACTGGACGATTACGAGGAATTGACTGTCTCTGCGTTTGAGCAGTCATGCCCTTAACTGTTGACTGTGGTGACATCCAGGTACAGAGAGGACATCACAGGTCATGTTGGCTTCGTGGTCACTCGTCCACCAGGAACTCGGCTCTCTCCCGCACGCCTGTGACGACGTCGACTTGACATGGTTTGAGCGAGAAATTCAGACTAACAGCGTATAGTAAGTCCTTTGCATGCGTAGAGCGTTCCGTGACTGCGTAGGTGATGTTCGAGATGTCCGATTGTGAATGCAGCTTGCGAAGTTGATGTTTATGGGAAGTGTGCATCACGCAGCACATGGGATAAATGCTTGGCTCGTGCGCACAGTGCTGTTTGGCTAGTGATATGACCTAGCTAGCGGCAATGTTATATGAACCCAAAGCCTCTGTTAACGCAACACTCCGACGACTTGTCGTCCACTCAATCCATATCATTGCTCAGAAACTCGGGTTTGTAGATCCCGTTTCTTATACATGCAATTAGAGATGTTAACCGCTATTACACAATCTTCAACAACTCAAAGATGCTTTTTCTCCTTCATCTTGCCTCGAACACCTGGCCTGCATTGTGTTTACCTCTACTAACGCCATCACCAAATGCACTAACAGACCACGCTGAACATCGTCGCAGAGCTAGGGCCTTATCCCCTCCTGTCTACTCACCACCAGGAAACATCAATGTTCCTCTCTCTCTTCCTCTCATTACTAAGACACACCAAATGGCGTGAACCCTCAAACTCATACAGCTCAACAAAGCAGACATACACAACGAGCTGTTACCTCCTCCTATAATGACCATATTCTGTGGCAGCTTCTTCACATAATCGAACGATCCCCAGTACCCGCTCAGCAATCTCCCGTCGACCACGTCCAGCTCAGGTCCCGCACTCCTCCAAGACACTGAACGAGGTCGATGGCGAGCACACACTCGTGTGGTGTTGAGCAAGCATTGGGGAAATGTGTCGCCAAAGACCGCCAACTTCGTTGCCGTTGGATAGGGTTCCGGAAATGAGGCAGCGGCATGATCGAAGATCGGTGATACACGGTGCCGGCGTGTGAGCGGCAGCTCCCGTCTGTCTGCATGTCCATTCGGGTGGGACTCGTACACTTGTTTTCCGATTCGTGAGTGTCCGACATTGAACGCAAGCCCCTTTGAGACTTCAGACTACATCATTCAATCAACGACTCCGATATCGGCATGCATCGTTCCAGTTTAATGTTGCCCGGGCGACTTCTATTTATGGAGCAGCCATTTCGAGATGGACAGGCTTCAAGAAGGGTGGGCTCCGTTTGGGAGGTTCGATCAGCGATATACTCTAGTGGACGAAATGGTTGCTGGCTAGGCGTTCGGCTGAGTCATGGGATGTGGCTGTTGGGGATGCTGATAACATGATATCTGGCGGTTGGTGGCCACCCCATCGAGAGGGTCAGTCCAATAGTAACAAGTATATCGATGCTCCGGTTGGGGAGATGGTGTGCTAGATGTACACTGACGAGTAATGGTGGGCCACATGTGTGAAGGTATACTTATGTGAGTCTCTCCCAATTCCCCATTTGTGTTTCCTAATAACGTTCTGGTAGATGCTAAGCATTACTTCAAGTACACATATATAGCAGTCACTAGCGCCGTGGGAATATTTGTCAAGCGCAAGGCTCTCTCTTGGTTCCTCGTTGAGGACATCACGATTGGTCGATAAGAACTTTCAGCTCAGCTGCAGTCCAGAGCGCCCCTCGAAGACATTGGTGCCCAAGCAAGTGAGGCGTCAAAGTAATGACATTTACTGTCCTTCTCTCCTCCTGTCCTTTTCTCCTGGTTTCCCCCTGCTATCGTCCCTCTTCTTCCTTTTGTTTTGCGTCCAACTTCGAATCCCCCAAAGCTCGTCGAGGCCTTCTTTCACATTTTCACATCATGAAATCCAAACGCACAATGAACGGTCGCAATCACCTCTGATTCGAGTCCGAAACCTGCAAGGCTCAATGGCACCGGCGCTCTACTACACAAGAGACGTCCCGGCCTTCACTAGCTTCCATTCGGAACCTTCTGGACGGGGGACAGTGGGAATCATCTGGACTTGCCTCAGCATCATTCTGCTTTCATCCTGGAGCTCATGTCACACCCCAGCATATGATCCTAACAAATCTTTCAAGAGTGAGGCTCGATATTCATACTTGAAGAAGTTTGCATGGGCATTTCTCTTCCCCGAGATAGGAGTAGTTACGAGCTTCGATAGCCTCTATGATGCCTTGCAACTTCGAAAAGCAGTAAGGCAAGTGGGTGGACCACAGTTCTCCAGCTTCAGCTTACCACAAGCCTTTCTTTTCATTATCAAAGGGGTATATCAGAAGCCAGCTGGCTCAACACTGACAAGAGTATACCCCAAGATGCTTGTAGAGCTCGTAACAAGTGGGAGTTTGTCATTCTCGGATTTGCCCACAGACGACGAAATAGCCGACAAGTCGAAACGCGACTGGACGCTCAAGTCACTCTCTATTGTTCAGACAGGGTGATTCATATTCAGCATCATCGCCAGGTTGTCTCGGGGATACCCTGTGTCTCTATATGAGGATATTACTGTGGCAAATGCATGCTGTGGCATTATTGAGTTTGCTTGTTGGTTTAATTGCCCACAGGACATACGTCTGCCTTTCATCATTAAGCCAGATATTTCCGGGACGTCAGACAGCCCAGCTGCGACTGGCACCGTTGAACCCAAGCAAGAAGTAATAGTTCAGGCATCGTTACTCGTTCCCGGGAATGCGTCAAAAGATGATGCCTCGTCTGGCCCCCATTTTTCTGTACTGAGGGACATCAGAAGCGATAGGCCGAACACGGAGTTGCGAACCTGTGGACAGCCGCTCCTTACCGAAAAGGCAGTCAAGCGTCGGGCTTCATTTGCAAATCGAGAAGCTGGATTCCGGGAGGCCTCAGACACTTTCTTCGTGGTCCTTTTAATGGTCTTCTCTGTCTTATTTGCTGGAATCCACATAGCTGCGTGGAACTACAGTTTCCCATCCGTTACAGAGGCATGAATCTGGCGGGGCAGTTCACTTGCGATCACAGTGTTGGGTCTTTTTATATCCCTTGGTGGCACTGGTATTCTTACTGGAGATTCTGACAAGTGGAATTCAGCGCTGGATTTGATTTTCACGTTCAGTCTTCTTATATACATCTTAACCCGCACCATGATGCTGGGTATAGCCCTTATGTCCTTCCGGAAGGCACCCGCGCGTCTCTACGAGACTCCTTCGTGGACACAATACTGGCCGCATGTCTGAATGGGTGGAGGCTACACAGCCAGAAGTACTCGAGCCCCTGGAGTTGCATTCCTCAAAGCGACGGTTCATGGACGATCATCCCCTGATGGGAAAAAGACGCCAAAAATTGGAGTTGGAAAACGAGACAAGGGGGTTTGGGAGCTGGTAAAAGATGCAATTTTGACGGAGGTGGAAAGGAGACGACAGGAAATGGGCTAATTTTTAGTGTAACGGGAGAGGCAAAACGGAAACCAGTGCAATCGAGGTCTGGGAGGGAGTGCTGGAGACGGGAAGCCGAGTGAATAGGGGGAATTGACTTCCAACAGGCACGCCTTCCCTCGCCGTTTGGTATGGAATACGGATACTTCATAACTCTGGGTGCACTTTCTCATGGTTTAGATGTTTGGCGCGTTGAGAGCAGGTTTTTTGAGCTGGTGGTTGATCGCGGTGCGGAAGGAGATTTGCTCATATTTGTCTTCGTTTCGTCTGAAACTGTTTTCGACTTCTTTTCTAGCATCGTGGAGGTGTGGGTTGAAGTCGTGACTCGACATCTTGGCGTGGCATTAGTTGGCCCTGTTATGAAGTCAAAAAACTCCCCCTACCCATGTTAGTCACCAAACTCATCCACCTTTCCACATATGCTGTTCATCTGTTCAACAAACCCGTCAACCACACGACACCACTCACCTGCACCAACAACAAAAACAAAAGCAAACCTCCCACCCAGGTACCTACCCATCACATACCTTACCCCATCGTACAGCATGTCCATACTTAAGCACCTTCCACATCCCACCATCATATCTGCCTCCCCAGTCTCCAAGCAGGACCAGTCTCGATCCTGTCATTATAGTAGCACTCAGCAAACTTGCATACAGCTCCATCCCATCACTTTTCCCATCACTTTAGAGAAATCCTAGGGATCCTTTTATTTCCATGTGAACATGGAGTGAGCTTGCTGGAGCTGCTAGACAAACTAATATGCCCGTGTGAATGCTGTGTAGGTAGCGTATCCATGCCATTT